TAGCCAAGGATACCACTACCCTTGTGGTATAAGGGTAACTGCCTCTTCAGATGCCTGAAGGATGTTTTTGTTTGAGGCCATTCATAAACTCGAGAACAGACGTGTCTCTAGCGGTATTTATGCTGATAAAGATGATAAAATCTACGATTGCGGCTATTTATGACTAAAAGTGTTTTGTTTTTCCGCTATAAATTAAAAGATGCAACAAAAGGGGCCAGCATAAAGTATAAAAACTGTTGTAGAAATGTTACGCATGTTGTTAGAAATTTGTGCATTGTGAACGTTTTTCTCGGTCGGTCTTTGATAACCTTTCAAGAGACATGCCGACTGAGCGGTCTGGCGAGCACATCGACACAAACTAAACAGTCATTTCTCGCATCTGAAGATAGTTATATGATTCATGTAGCACAATGACCCAGCAGTGCAACACGCACATGCCTAAACTGAATGGTTCATATGGATACACGGATTTCTACACTAGGGAAGCATTGGTTAGAAATTGTAATACGGTTTAGAAAATAAGAATGGACTTCAATTTAATGAAGTTGTTAACAAGGTTGAACTTGTGTGCAAAAGAAGAGAATATATCACTTAAATGAGTTTTGATATTTGGACCTAGGCCTGATGGGCATTACCTAGTGTGTGGATCACTAGATCGCTATTTTCTGACAGACTAGAGTTTAAAAACCCTCTCTTCTGAATTTAGTTTTATTGTTTCCTTCCGTGACAGCTTGTTGGTCATAGAATTGTCCATGTCTTCAAAACCACGGTTGCTGGAGACATGACATTCCACTGTTACAAATATACACATGAGTCAAATGTAAGCTTCTCGTGTATATGTTTAGACGACTTCTATGTTCTCTTGTAATGAAGAAATTACAATCCAAAATTCATAGAAGGAAGTAAGTCACCATTTCCGCCAATCGCGCCATGTAAGGAGACATACAGGGAGAAGGTGATCATCTTCTGTTAGAATTGGGATTGAAACTAAATGTGATTCGTTTCAAACATTTAAGACGGTTATTGCGGAACCTCTATGATCAGGACGATTACTGCTGAAACACTTGCATGGATACCCAGTAACATTAATCCGTACAAGTGTTAATCCGGACCATTTCAATAGGTAAGGTTACCATTCGGATAAACGGGATTTCACTGTCGTACTTCAGTTTTTATAAACTCAATTGTAACTCTTGTATCATAGTACTATACTTAACATTATGAGCAATGTATTGGTACATTATATCTTAAGCATCCTCATCTGCTATATGGCAAACATACAAGATGTAATGCAAATACTTATTTATTCAAACTAAATTAAATTCCATATTAAACCGAGCAGATGCCTCGCATGCCTCATTATCAGCAAACAGACGGATGGAAGTACTGAAACAGCCCCTCTAGTCCAGTTCTACAGTTGTACCATATGGCAGTGTTCCTTATGACAGCTGCAGATATTACAACGTAGAGGGGCACTGGGCCATATTTCATTTTTATGACATAATCCATTAAGCAGTAGACACACAGCAGCTTCCGCTTGTTGTGGTAGACAGAAAATACATTCCCGCTTTCCCCGCAAAGTCTGTATCCCATCGACTGTCTTGATACTCTCACACAATGTTGAAATGTGTTTATCAGTACAATGATCTACCGCCTCGTCTCATCCTGCGGCATCGCTATAATATTTACCACTTATACGTTATAGTGTGTTTGGGTGTTTACGTTCTGTGAACCACAGCACGTCTCCATGTAATATTTTAAGGTTGATAGTTTTTTTGGCCTGCTTTGATGTATCTATGAATGTAATTGTTCTTAAGTGGCATCTTGCTTGATAAAAGGTACTAGCATCTGTACCTAAACCTGAAGGAATAAAGAAGTTTAAACAATGTCAGCTCTGGCTTCATGTGAATGGTAGGCAAACATATTAATCTGAATTATGTTATTCATTTAAACAGTTCATTTGTATTATAGGTTATTTGAGTACGCCATCCTTAGCCAGGTTAACAAACGGTCAAACAGTCGAGAAGTCAAACCGTCATAATATCTCGAGTTCCAAACTAGATATATTACTAAACAGAAATTACAAATTAAACCGGCAACTACACTTCGTAGCCTGTCGTTTGCTATTCACTTCATCTTCAGCTGATTCAAATAATTGTATCGAGTTCAGTCGAATGTATCCTTATAAAAGTTATCCCTATCGTGTTTTCCAAGTTCATGTCGAGGGTAGTTTAGTAGTAAAAGTAGAAGAAAGTGAATGGGCATTGCTCGTTCTCAGATAGGTAAATAGAAATAGTACAAGAGGTGGCTGAAAAGTTCTGAGCCTAACTACGAAGGGTGTAGTGTACACCCTTAACAGTGTCCATGCATCAAGGAGAATACTTCACATGCTTACAGGCTGCATTTGGACCAAGTGTAAAACCCCAACAGCCATCCATGCGGAAATGCTGTCAACTTCAGGGGATGATGCTCCATGCTATTGTTAAGAGGTTGGCAACGGAGTTCAAGAGGGGAAGTGACACCATCCAAGATGATCTAAGATCAGAAAGACTTTCAGCTACCAGCACTAAATAAATGTTTGTAAAATACATGTTATGGTTTGGAAGATAGACGTCATATAACTGTGAGCCAGAGACTAAACAACAGTCAAAGCAATGGAAACATATCTCAAGTCTTCTATCCGAAAGAAGGCAACGTCGATTCTTTCATCCTACCTCCCGAAATGTCAATGGTCAAGATTATGCGGGGTAAAACCTCACTCCAGCACACACACACACACACACACACACACACACACACACACACACACACACACACACACACACACACACGACCCACTCGCACAGTCACTTTCTTTACATGAACCAATAATGCATATTCTCTCTCTCTCTCTCTCTCTCTCTCTCTCTCTCTCTCTCTCTCTCTCAACCATACTCATCTCCCCTACCAATACAGGAGCAACCACTACCAGTACAGGCACAGCTACTTCGATTTCCCAGGCCAACATCCCGACATGGCAATAATATACCAATATCAATAAAGAAACAACTGTCGCGCCTTAACGGGCCAGCATCCCGTTATAATCTTAGTCTACAACTATATAGCCTCCTCAGGTCTACACTCCATCACCTTTACTTACAGGTCAGGCAATCAGCCATGTTGGGATAGTCAATGGAAGGGAGAAAAAACATCTCTAATCCATCACTCGGATGCTGCACGTCAATGTGCAGGAATGATTCTTTTCCGTATCATTTCATTCGGTTCCTTCAAGCAAATAAACATAAATGCTGACGGTAACATCCCCTCCCCCAGGCCCCACCACCCCTCTCGACATGCACATCACGGCGGGGATGGCTTGGTACCAACAGAGTTTATCACACACACCATAAACTAGTCTCGCCTCTCCTTCCTTTAACAGGGGCGGGAGATGGGTGCCTGCAGAAATCATCAAGAGACAAAAAGAAAGAAAATTGATGGCAAAAGTTGCTGTTTCCTTGGTGTTGCGGAGTCTTTATTCATAACGGAGACCTCCTTGAGTGAACGGTTGGTCTGAGCACAGCAGGGGGACGAAGACGAAGAAATATCCGCACTTTTTATCAACGATGGAAGTTTGGGAATTCCATTTAATTTGATGTTATCGTGTATGATTTGAAGCAATTACAGTTTATGACGTCTAACGGGACAGCTAAACAAGGACTGTGATCAACATAAACAATCCGGTCTGATGCTGGATCAGACAGCAAATGAGATGGGCGTTCGCTACCACTCCTATGGAGGGCCTTGATCACATGAAGAGAAACTCAAGTCCAGATCGACTCCCTTCAATTTTGAATGGCATTTAACCAAGCAAACGAACTAGTTCAAAGACTCGTCACTTTGAGTAAACAAACAATAATACGGACAAACATTCTAAAAATATCGGGATGAACTTTGCGTCGGCAGTTTTTCGTGAACTCACATGTGTATCTGTGCTTGTAACCTTTCCGCTAATCGTGTTAGTTGCTACAATTCCAGAACTGTATGATATTTAGCGCCTCTTGTGCTACACAATCCAGGTTAAAATCATGAAGGAATATCAAGTGAACTTAAGTTGTCATAACTTATCCGCCTTAGAAAATGATAACTATCTCTGTGTTTATTTTATGCTGTATATACTCAGAAAAAAACAAACATTTAAAGAGTTGTGTCATTATGTTTCTGTTTTCTATATACTAAAAGAACTGCTTTCCTTCTGTGTTATTTTTTATTGCAGGTATGACTTGTGTCTTTATTACGTTAACATGCCTTTGTCTATTTATCAATTTGAAACAGGAATTCATTGATTATATATATATATATATATATATATATATATATATATATATATATATATATATATATTGCAATATGCACTAAAGTTTGATCATTTATTGGATGTATATATTCTATTATGCCACTTTTTCGTTTTTCTCAAGTAACAAAGACAGAAAGAACATGTGTAAGAATTGGTATGATGGATCTACGTAAATAAGCATGTGTCTTTACTATAAGCGTAAAGAAAGCAGCGCAGGGACACCAATAACACATACCAAGATTAGGAATAAAACCCCGAATTTTCAGTGAGACAGGCACATTCTTTAACCGCTAAGCTGTAGGGGTAACGGTCGGGTGGGGGGGGGGGGGGGGGGGGGGGATGCATGTATAGAAATACTATCCAGAAGGGCTTGCTTTAGAGGACGAAATTGTGAAATTGGTGTTAGTAGTCGATTGGGTAACACCGTCACAACGGACACATGCATTGTATGCAATTACTGTCAGCATGACATTACACCGTACTTATGATTCCCTCATCATGTTATCTCTTAATCCGGGCGACATCATTGGGAACTGTACCGTCCATATTAACAGGGTTCCACAGGTAATGCTAGTTTTGGAATGCATGTCTATTAATACATTTGGCTGCAGTGCATAGCATACAAATAAACAGGAACCATTTGTCATGCAATCACAGATGGCCTCACCTTTCTTGAGGACTGTTTGAAATACTGTGTTGTTCCTGATCCGGGCAGTGCAATTCCAGCGCTCGTATTTGAACTGTTTCTGGCACTCCAGAATCCCCCGTCGAGCCCCGTCACTGATACACAACAGGGATTGGGGGTTCTTGCGACACACTTCTTGCTGTTGGACAACAAGCCCAGGGAGGTCGTTGCAGGAGTCGTCGTGAAGTGCCCCCGCCAGGGACGCCACACCGAGGTACCTAAACACACAGAGGAAATAGCAGGTGTTTAGAAGAATTTGTTTTATTTCCATATGTGCTGCTAAGCTTTTTTTTCATTTAAGAGAAGAGCTTTCAGTGTCACATCAAAGAGGCATAAAGAATATTACGAGCATTTACCCTTTAAGATCATTCTTATGAATTTGTGTGAAAATATTAAAAGAAAAGATATTCTTAGTAAACAAGGACGATACCCCACAGAACACAGGGGAAGGTAGAAAATGTAAAATATAAAGTTGCAAATTTTCCAAGCGATATGATGTACAGCTTCATTGCAAGTTTACAGAAACCCTGCTGCGTCCTGACAATGAAACATGGAACGAGAAATTATATCTGTCACCAAATGTAGACTTATAGGGGCACAGGGGCATAGGGGCATAACTACGAATTGTCAAAGTTAGGTACCCGCTGCAACGGCTACATGCTGTGCATGACAACTTGCTGGTCATGAATGGCGTAGTCTTACCCAAGTTATAATGAAAATCTTCACAACATGTAAAAACTAGTGTATGAAAATGGAAATAGCCCCTTGTAAAGAAGATGTAATCGAAGAGTCGATAACTGTCACCACGTTTGATAAGAGAATTGTAATACCACGGATGGTCATGTATGGTTATATGTGCAAAAAAGGAAGAAGATATGCCAATCTACAAAGATAGCAAGTTTAGTCTGGTAATATTGAAATTGTTACAATTGATCTGATTATAGCTTTTGATGAATAATTCGTTGAAATACAGAACAAAAACAAAGGGATACACATGTCGCAACGTTTATAGGTAAGAAACAAGAATGTTTGAAGAGTTGATGGAATGAAATGTGTCAGTGTATTTCCTCTTGGGAAAAAGTGCCTGTAATGTTGATTTCAGTAAACTGTTTGTCTACATAACTTAAACTTTAAGTTTTAATTTGAGGGAACAAAACAAAAATAGCTTCGTATATTCATTACTCAAAGACGGTTATTGATAACTATTCACTTTCAGGTACTCATTTTGACCAATAGGTTTAGAAAACAATTTCTGCATATGTTGAGGTAATATTTCCTTAAGTTCCTACACATAGTCCTTGTTAGTTACCGCACATATCCACGAATATATTTGAAACTGCGAGTGTCAACAATACAAAATCACTCTACTCGTTCTGCTTTAAACAAGATCATGTAAGCAGAGTAAATCAAACCAATCCAATCATATTCAATCATCCCTGCAATCTTTGATGTTGTCCCTTACATTTATACTATGTGATAATCGCATGACTAAGTTACACTTATGAGTGAAGGACATTGTATTGACAGGACACATCAAACATAATGCCTTATTAATCGCGATGCAGCGAACGTACAAGCTGTCAACATAAAATCGTGTGAAAATGCCAACTCAATACACAAAAAATACCTTATTTGAATTCAGACCATAACACACAAAACATGATGTAGTTCAGGCGAATGTGTGCACATTCACTGACATTCATTTTGAATTGCATAGAAGCATTTCCTGCTTTTTTAGAACATTGATATTTAAAGAACACTGTACACTGTTTGTTTTTACCTTACTCGTGGGGATTGTTTGCAGACAAAATGTAGAATGTCACCAAGCATTATGAACAAATATGTACATATAAACTATGTATTTGAGCATTGAGAATGTGTTCTTCGACGTGTGAACGTGTTACACCCCTCATACACTCAATATTACTCTCCTTATTATACCCATATAATTTCATAATTATATGATTAAACATGATTATTATGCTGGAGTAGAAATAATGATACTTATCAAAACTACTATTGTACTATATTTATTAATTTTCATATTTCAAAATTTCTTACACATATGCATGTACGTTCCTCCAATTCCATATAGACAAATATAGCAGATAAAAAACATAACATGTTCCTGTCATGGTATTTAACAACATTAAAGCACGTTGACATATATGTATTTTTGACATTATGCAAAATGTTAGTCACGGTAAACATATAGAACCGTTATTGTGTTTATTGTTTAACACATCAAAAAGATGAATATGAAAATATGAATTGTAAATAAATAAATAAATAAATAAATAAATAAATAAATAAATAAATGTTACACAACATTTAAATGACACAACATAAACTGATGTTTTCCTGCAAAATAAAGTATCTTTGGATTACATACACGTACATTCACGTGAGGTTTCTATGACATTCGTCCATCAGTTGTGACATATGAATGAAATCAAATACGGGATAGGCTCGCTGTTTTATTGCTCATGATCATTATCTTATGTAAGGTGAGACGGTGGTATTACGATTTAACATAAACGTCGAAGAGACCGGTTAAATCTCCTATAGTCACACACACACACGCAGCCTGACAACACAAAATTCATATTTTCGTTAAATGTGAATCGCTGTGTCACACATGCCTTTCACACTTTGAAAAATGTAAACGCAAACCTTTATTATATTTCATACTTTCGGATTCTATACACAGGCGAAAGGTAGAATTGTACGAGTTGGGTTTTTTTATACTCAGTATTATGTCATTGCAATGTGCATTTTGTGAGGAATAATTTAACATTTAATACTTGATACATTATCTCTGTGAGTATACCAGACATATCAGTATATGACGATATCATTTCTATATCAATCCTAAATACACCCACATATGTACCCGTGTTATATTCCATCAGCTAGCATGTGCTTAAATATGAATTCAGAATTCATGTGATAATGGGTAAAATTTCAGACTGACATACACATTCACACAAATTCCGCCAGACAAAATGATAAACATATTCTGGTTACAGCTATATTTACAGTTAAATATTAAAACTTGATTTAATAGATATTATGAATTTATCATTGTATATTATGCAATTCCAATATATCCAAGATTTGACAATCGATTACAGAAGTGTAAACCTTTAATACATCATATTAACTGAACATGTGATTTACCGAATAATTCATCTTCTCTTATAGATAAAGCTATGACATCCTAAATAAAACAAAACATCGATTATACAAAAAATATTGTAACACATTACCTTTCCATGAGCAGAATATTCGAAGACAAAAGGAAAATTTAAATACGCACCCGAACAGCAACAAAACGTGTGGAAAGTAATATTCCCGTAAGCTACGAACACTCCTACCATGTATGAACTACAGCCTCCTGACAGGCTTTACAGAACAAATTCCAACCAATCTCATAGTAAACATCCAAGAAGAATAGGGATCATTGCCCAAACACTTTGACATCTTTTCGCTGTATCTATTTCAGCGTTTATTCAACGTCACTCTTTTATCTTATGGGAACTGAACGGCATTTTATTTGCACGTGTATCAGCCGATTTTCGACCGAAAATTATAGAAGGGTTCTCCTGAAGCAGTGAGAACTTACATCCAACTCGCTACCACGCGGATCTCCAAAGTCAGGTACAGAAGAAGGAGAGCCTTTGTCCATCGAGTAATATCTTCACGCTGACGAGGGCCCATGTTTTAGCATACACACATTTCTGACTTGCAAAAGCACAGCAGGTATGAATCTCTCCGTGGGGTAATAGTTTAGAGTCATTTGAGTCGGTCCGCCGCGGGCCCATGCAAGCTATTGAGAGACTTGAAGGCCTGTCCCGAGAACTTGTTGAAATCAGCCTATTATTCTTCACACTTTTATCACTCACTATCATCTCTCATTGGTCACAGACACACAGGTAGAACCCAGCCGCTTTTCATTGGCTGGGGGAAAGTCACGTGCTCTCGTGGGGGTCCAGTCAGCCTCAGAGTGTGACAGTGTCTGTGATTCATAAAGTGATCACTGCAAAATCAAAACAAAAGTTGTAGTGCTTTACCGTAGTCGGTGTATCGGCCTGACTGTCGCTGTGCGCCCCTCGCCTAGACTCCCGTGCAGTAATCCCCGCGCTTTACGGGGAAAGTATTACGGATGCTGAATTGTTTTATAGATAGTCACTGATAACATCGGATGGAATGAACGAAGCATGTTATAGGGAAATCACATATACGTTGTTATTTTTTTTAATGGTGATTAATACATCACTGTATGTATCATTAATGAGTATGATTAACCGAGTTTAACATATTTGTTGTAGAGTTAGGTGGCTAGATGAACGATTGTAAATAAATGTTATTTTATGATCATAATAGTGACATTAATATGTATGTTTTTGAATAACGGGAGGAATAACCGAGGTAGACACCGTTGTTGTAGCTCAGAGTTAGTGGTTAGGTAGACGATGGTAAATAAATGGCACTTGAAAATCAGAATAGTAATATGTATTTATATGGGTATGTATAATCACGGTCCGTGGTATAATCAACGGGATCTATAACCGAGTTAAATATCGTTGTTGTAGCTAGGAGTTTAGTGGATAGGTGACCGATGGTAAATAAATACCACCTGAAAATCATAATAGTGAAATGTATGTGTATGTTTGGGAATAGTTAACTTGGATGATTAACCGATTGTTGTAGCTAGGAGTTTAGTGGGTAAATGAATGATATTAAAGAGTGAAATGTATAATTATGTATGTGTATGTATAATTAAAGTGGGCGAATAACAGAGCTAAACATACTTGTTGTAGCTAGGGGTTTGGCGGATTGGTGAACAATGGTATATAAATGTTATTTTATAATCATAACAAGGACATTAATAGGTATGTATGTGTATAATTAACGGGATAAATTAGCCAAACACTAATGAAGCTAAGAGTTATGTGGATAGGTGAACAATGATGAAACATTTTCAATGTTATTTTATAAACATAATGCATATGCATATGTATTACTATGTACCATGAACGTGAATGATTAACGTAAATAACATCGCTTGACGCTAAATAACGTTGTTGCATTTTCTCGTTAAGTAGATAGGAAGGCGGTTGTAAACAAAATGTTATTTTATACTTAAATAGGGATAAGTACATGGATGGGAAGCTGTGTATGTAGGAAGAGCAAGGATTGTCAACTTACTAAATAACAACATTGCAGTTTCCATTTATGTAGATTGCCGTCCGGGGTAAATACAATGCTATTTTTCAAGTTTACTTGATGAATATGTACATATATTATATAATGGACAAGAGGGTTAATTATTATTACAACATTTTTCCAGTTACTATTTTTAGGAAAGGATAAATACAATGTTCTATATATATATGGTGACACGCACATGTAAGTAGAACGCTGATTGATGACTAATGCAAGTAAATAACAAATTTACAAAGTACAAATATATGAATGTAGAATTAACTTAAATGGGGAGTTAACTAACAAAATAACATCCTTGTAGGCTTTAGAACCTAAGTAGATGGATAGGAGGGTAGGTAGATGAGGTAGTTACAGTTGGAGGAATAACACGCAGGGGCAGAGAAGAAAGGATGTTCTGGTGTTCCCAAGTGGTACTACACAGACGTGTCAATGTTCTGTCAAACTCCGGCGATTGTTATCCGTAATATTTATTTGATTAATATGTCATGAAAATGATTTTAAGGTACAAATGTGGCAACTTACCGTTTCTCTCCATTTGACCTGATGGATTCTTAGACAGTCCAATCTCTGGTGGTGTAAAATACAGTCTGGCGTTCAGTCCACCTAGCTGTTATCTTGGTATATGGACATTTATATGCCACTTTTGCCTAATCGCCGTGACAGGCTCGACAGCTCGAGCTAACATATCTATTTTGCCATTGCGACATAATCAACAGATAAATGTTTAAAGATTGTAACTAAAATTAGATTTTCAAAAGTCATTTTTGATGACGTTGCTCTGTCATAAGTTATTTATTTCGTGTTTTATGTTAGTCAGCGAGTTGGGTTATGTATGCTGAAACACTTTGAAAACGTATATTCGAATTTTTGTAATATCTTTACAATAGCAGACTGATTAGATTAAGTTGTTTTGTGTACTAGTATTTAGGAATGAGATAGTAAAACACAACAATGTCATTTTATCACACCGTCATCATTCTTTGTCATGCGAGTAAATATTTACTGTTAAAATCATTTTCTTGTCCTTCGCGTTCAAGTTGATTATGCTTTTTCATTGTGTGTCAGTATATGTATATACTGCGGCATGTGGTACAATGGCGAGTATTACGTGTGGGTGTTACGTGCTATTTCCATTCACAGCCTGGGAAGGGCTTTCCGTATTATATTTAATTCGTATAGAAAAAGTGTTGAATTTTCTTAAATGTACAGGTTTGAAAAAATGATTTTTGAATAAACATATGTTGCGTAATTATTACTGATAACGTTATTATCATAACATTGCAACAAAACTATATCTGCACACATTTGTTGAGAATTCAACTGAAACACTTATGCATATATTTAAATATTATTATAAAGTATTGCATTTGTCACCATTAAATGTATAGTATTACTAATAATTTCTGTAAAATGTACTTCTGATTGTAAATACAGCAACAAAACCCTTTCCATATCCAATAGAAACATCTGCCTTAAGCAGAGTCGATTGTACTATTACGATTATATCATGAGCATGGGTTTATGAATCACTATCAAATAGTAATGATACCAGGTGTTCGCGAAAAGGTGAGACACTCGTTTCAAGGAGATAATTATTTGGTGAAAGTCAACCAGTGTACAATCTAAATAATTTGCCCAAATATAATACTCATATCACGACGTGAAATAGAAACAGAAACTAAACTTGATATCGCGAACTACTGAAACCCGATGTTAACGTTTATTCGACCTAACAATTGTTCTGACTCGATACGTTTAGATAACGGGGACATGGATGTTTGATATCAAATATCAAATATTCGAGATCACCAAAATCTCGAGACAACCAGATCTGAAGGGTAATGGCTGAAACAGTAATTCTTCCTCGAATGTCCTGATATATCGACATCGCAATACAAACCCTACGGATAACGGACACCAATGCGTGTTCACTCTACATAACAATATTGATGATAAGATGCATTTGGTTTCCAGCAAGTCTAAGACAAGCACTTCTACGAGCACCATCCCGTGTTATAAATATCTATATTTCCGGGTTCTGGCCCTGTGCAGGTGTAGGGCTAGCCTCGCGTGGCCAGTCTGATATTGTGGAAATGTCACTGTTAGGCATTTCAACATGGCTTGCTGGCGTATCCAGGACATGGAGATAAATGTTGTGAACACAACAGCGTATATGATAATAGTATCGTGTAAATCTATTAGCAAGGATAACATACAAATGTATCACCTTACAAATAGGTATATAATATAATTATTAAGTTATTTCATTAGTAAGAAAACTAAAATATTACCGGTAGGTATATGATACTATCATCGTGTTTGTTTTCATTAGTGAGGTGCTAAAAATATCTATTACCTCACATTTACCGTAATGTAATCGAGTTATTTCATTAGTAAGGATACAATTACCGGTAGGTATATGATATTATCGTCGTGTTGTGTTTCAGTAGAAAGGATACTCAAAATATGTATCACTTCACAATTACCGGTAGGTATATGATATTATCATCGTGTTGTTTTTCAGTAGAAAGGATACTCAAAATATGTATCACTTCACAATTACCAGTAGGTATATGATATTATCATCGTGTTGTTTTTCAGTAGAAAGGATACTCAAAATATCTATCACTTCACAATTACCAGTAGGTATATGATATTATCTTTGAATTATTCCATCAGCAAGGATTATGAAAAAAATGCATCCATTCACAAATAGATATTTGATATTTAATAATTAATTTTTTTCATTAGCAATGATAATCAAATCTGACTATCACACAAATGTAGATATTTGATATTTTTCTCATCGAGTTATTTCATTATCAAGGAGTCAAAAGCTATATTGGTCATTTGAAACATAACATCGTTAGTTTAAAATGTGGCCACAATGTATTATAATATGTTTAGGGTACTGTTATTTTGAAAACCTTACCGCGAACATATCCTTGTGTAATTATTAGACGTACAGCATTGTCTCGCCATGACTAACAGGGTCAAGGTTGATATGTGTAATAACGACTGTTAGTTTGATCGATTTCAGGAAACAGATTTGGAGATGAAACTGACGATACATGTTAACTCCTTTAGCCCAAACGGTAAGCCCTGTGAGATCGTCTGGGTTAAAACATTTTCGGACATCTCTGTAAAGGAATTGTGTCTTTGGTGTTCACGTAGACGCTCCTAACAGAACAGGAAAACGGATGCGGATAGACGGGGTTTCATTGTTCATCTGGCTACGGGATGTCACAGGTCCAATAAAACCCTTAAACGTAACATTCCCATTGTTCCCGGACGAGCGGGTTCCACACCAACCAGGTCTTACTGTATTCAGGCGACGGAATGCCACAAATCCGATGGATCTTCATAATCAGTGCCTACAATCTTCCCTAGCAAATAATATACATGTAGTAATGATTGCAGAGGAATTACATCTGACTCATAGCTGCTCGTTCGTTATATCCGATTTCGTCTTGCCCAGAGTATTTCCTGCAATGATTGTACCACTGCCACCATCATCATGGTAATTCGTATCAGAACAATAACTAAACTGCATCACTGTTTACTACCGATGCAACTCTTTCTGGTGTTGATGCTACTGCTGCATTTGCTGGCACTGTACCTTACTGCTGCTAGCGCTGCTGTTGTTGTTGATGTTGTGGTGCCGTTGATGTTGATGTTGCTAATGCTGCTTTTTCTGTGGGACGGTTGCAGAAAACGAATATGATCCTTTCCCCTACTACCATTATCATAACAAATCACATGACACTTTACTTTGTAAAATCCTATTTTCTCACAACATT